GAGGCTGTGACTTGCTGATCCTCTCCCCAACACCATTTCTTTTTTAAAAAAAATATATATTTATTTAGTATATATACAATATTCTGTCTGTGTGTGTGCCTACAGGCCAGAAGAGGGCACCAGACCTCATTACAGATGGTTGTGAGCCACCATGTGGTAGCTGAGAATTGAACTCAGGACCTTTGGAAGAGCAAGCAATACTCTTAACAGCTGAGCCATCTCTCTCCAGCCCCCAACGCCATTTCTTTAATCTCAAGAAAGCGGGCCTGTCTGGGAGCTGGGAGAGCAAGCACCTGTAACAAATTCCTGACTCCTGACCCGGAAGAACTGTAGCTGTCACCAACCCAGGCCCTGTTACTCTACAGTGTGCTCGTGAGAGTCACACATCCTCTGGCTACCGCTTCCCACCTCTACAAAAGGGCCTTGAGCCTCTTGTGCTAAGACCCAGAGCTTGGCCTCAAAAGTCCCAGCTCCTGTCTCCCAGCAGAAAACCACGCTAGGTCTCAGGTGGAGGAGAGCGCAGCTTACCAGGTGGAAGGCCTCGTGGGAGTGCTGGAAAGTCAGGAGCATGTACTTGAGGACAGACAGAGCAGCCCCCCGAACAATGGGGTACAGCAGCTTAGAGAAAACCTGGAAAAGAGCTCGTGTCAGGGGTCCCTAGACCCAGGCTGCTACCCAAAGCCAAGCGTGGCCACAGCTGACCCAGTAGAGTGGAAGCAACAGGCTGACAATGGACACAAGAACACAGACAAACGTGCCTCGGTGCTGGATGGAGCATGGTGAAGCAGGTAGCCAGGGTTGGGCGAGCGATGGGTGGGCAGACATGCCCTGGGATGAGCGGTCGGGGTAACGGAGCTATGATTTGAGGCCCAGAGAGGAGGAGCGAATTAGCCCCCGTTACACAGTGACCCCAAGACCCTGCACCCCACACCTGCACTGCGCCCAGAAGACACCAGCTCAGGTTCGGACAGGGGCCACCAACCTTCTCGATTTTGGCGAGCGAAACTTCAATGAGGATGCTGAACTTCTTCACGGCAGCCAGGCCCTTCAGCAGCGCAATGATCCACCTGTCAATGTTCTTCCCCAGGGGCCAGGACACCCAGTCGATCATCCTGGTGAGGGGGGTGACAGTGACACAGGGGAGGGGACAGGGGAGGCCCAGAAGCCAGAGTCAGGGAGCCCAGGGACTGACCATAAAGTCCTCACACCCGCACAGGGAAAAACGGGACACTCCTGAAAAATGCAAACGAGCCCCACACCCAGCAAAAATGGCTCCCAGTCCTCCAGAGGAAAGCCAGACCCTTTCACCCACTGTATCAGACCACAGGGGAGAAGGCACTGCAGGCTATCCTTGCAAAGAGCTCCAGCCTGGGCTGAGAACTCTGGCTCCACCAAGTCCCTGCTGGGGACCAGGGCAAACCACTTCCCCTCTGAGCCTGGACTTCAGCTGTAAATCGAGACAACCCCCCCCCCCCCCCCGGAGAACTATCACATAGGAGGGCAGCAGCTAGACCCTGCCTACAGTGTCCCCACCCTCACCCCAGGACCGTGTGCCCCACTGAGCATGGGCTGGTACGTGGTCAGTGCTCAGGAACAAGCATCAATCTCGGGATACTGAGCTGACGGTGCCACCGTGAGAATAATGGCTTCTAGCTGGGCGGTGGTGGCGCACGCCTTTAATCCCAGCACTCGAGAGGCAGAGGCAGGCGGATCTCTGTGAGTTTGAGGCCAGCCTGGTCTATAAGAGCTAGTTCCAGGACAGGAACCAAAAAGCTACAGAGAAACCCTGTCTCGAAAATAAAATTAAATTAAATTAAAAAAAAAAAAAGAATAACGGCCCTAATGGACGTTCCCACGGTGCGGTGCTACACCTCACAGACGGCTCACTTTGACCTAATCCCCAACACATTCAAGGATGACCAGTTTAGAGCTGAGGAAAGGGAAACGAAGCCACACAGTTGAGAAGCCTGGAAGACAAGCCCCTCCTGCCTGCACCCTCACCCACTAAAGACAAGGAACCGGGGAGAACCCTATGGAGATGGTGCCCTGTGCGTACGTACAGAAAGAACAGCGGAAGGAGGCATGCCAGGTTGATGAAGTCTGCACAGGCCAAGGCCTGAAGAGAAGAGTACAGGCCAAAGCCTAGTCGGAGGTCACAAGGCAGGCAGGTTAAGCTAGCTCACGGGTGACAACATTCAAGTGAGGGGGAACGTACACAGAGCCAGTGAGTCAAAAAAACACCCAAACTGTCTCTGATCTTTTCCAGACTCATAAAGTACACCAAAAACTACTTTCACCGTGTGTGCATGTGTCTTCATGCGTGTGCCTTCACGTGCGTGTGCGCCTATAGAACGGAATCTAACGGACAGCAGGTGCCCTGCTCTATCACTGGTCTTCAGGGTTTCCCAAGAGCCTGAAGCTGACTGGTCATGGAACCCCCAGGATTTGCCCATCTCTGCCTCCTCAATTCTGAAGTCACTTGTATGCACGGCCATGCCAGGAGGTGGGTGTTTGCACTCAGGTCCTCAGGGGCAAGCACTCCTCACTACCGGGGTACTCCCTCAGCCCCCATCTTTATCATCTCATCCTACCATGCACCTCTGCTTTTCATACAGAGGGAAACTGAGGCCGAGGGTTAGCACCCAGTCTGGTGGGATCACTGGGGCAGGACTTTGTCCTTTACAGCTAACCCAAGGCCAAGCAGAGGAGGACCGTAGAACTCACAGATGAGCCTGGCCCCTGACCGCGGAGAGCCTGAGTCCCCATCCACAGTCAAGAGCTTCAGAGAGAAGTGGGGGGACAAGCCCACCCGCACCCACTAACCTCAGCACCCACCTGCTAATGGCAGTCAGCATCTGGGAGTCCGTCACGCTGTCGTCATTGCTGAGGTTCCGGACGACACCATCCATGAGCTCCAGCGGGAGGTGCTGGACCACACTGGCCAAGGCGCTGGACGGCGGCTCTTCCTCTGGAACAGGGCTAGCCTCAGCTCTCCGTGCCCTCCTGCACTCACTACTTAGGCAGATAGCACGTGGGGCCACCTCCCCTCCCCCTACAGCATCAAAGCCTCTGATTCCATTTAACACAGTCATTCAAAACCCTTCACTGGCACAAGCTGACAACCAGACGTGCAGAGACACCCTGCGGAAGAGTTCAGGCTGGAACTAGCCTCGGGAGGAAAGGACATTTCAGGTGCAGCTACACAAAGGGGGGAGGGGGTGAGACGGCACATTTAATGCCAAACTCTTGTGCAGTTTACAGGAGACCGGCCGTCGGTACAGAGGCAGCTGGCCCTGGCTCTCTCCTCCCTGCCCCCTCCCCCGCACGACAGCCCTAAGATCAGAAAAATCACAGCCTTCAACTCAGTCATCCACGCTAGAATCTAAGGTCCACTGCTGGCTGGCAACTGGATGTCAAGAGTTCAGGGGTTGGAGAAATGGCTCAGCGGTTAAGAACCCTTGCTGTTCTTGCAGAGGACGGAGTTCGGTTCGCCGCATCCGCACGGTGGCTCACAACCATCCTTAACTTCCAGGGATCAGTGCCCTATTCTGATCTCAGCGGACCAGGCACACACGCAGTGCACAAACATACACACAGGCAGAACACGCATACACGTGAAATAAAAATTTTTAAAAATTTAAAAAAAGATAGAGCCTGAGTTTAAGTATCGCCTGCAAGCTCCCCCACTGTCAGATGCTAATGACTCCAGACCAAGCCTTCCTTGACCCTAAAGCCTAGGACCCACCACCATTCTGCCCTCCCAAACTAATCTCATCTTCCGCCCCACGTAGTGTGCTCCCCGCATTTCCAGCCGCACCACGCGATGATACCCACAGCAAACGCCCGCGGTAGATTTGCACACTAAAACCGAGCGCCGCAGTCCGCCGCCATGCGCAACCCGCACCAGATCCAGCCCGAGTGCCCGCCCCAGCCCGGGCTGCACACTCACCTGTGCATGAGATGACCGCAAACAGCTCCTTGAGGCAGGGCAGGATGGCGGCGGGCTGCGCGCGCCACAGCTGCGCCAGGAGCCCGCTAACCTGCTGGGCCTGCTCCAGGAACTCCACGGCGCCCTCCTCGCCCTCGGCCGGGCAGCGGAAACGGCCAAGGCACCGCACCAGCTGCTGGCAGAAGAGCAGGCGGTGCGCGCCGTCGGGGACGCAGCGCGGGTGGCGCGCCAGCAGCCGGGCCACCTGCGCGCAGATGGCGGGCCCGGGCCGCTCGCACACGGTGCGGAGCACCTCGCGCCGCAGCAGCGCGAACACCTCGTCGGCCGCAGGCCCGTCCGGCAGCAGCTGCAGCCCCAGCTGCACGCAGGCCAGCGCGCGCGCCCCGGGGGGCCCCGCGCCGCCCTGCAACAGGCGCAGCACGCGGCGCGCGCTGAAAAACTCGGCGAAGACCTCGGGGTGGTGGCGCCCCGCCACGTGCAGCAGCTGGCAGCCCACGCGGCGCAGCAGCTCGTCCGTGCCACCCACGTAGAGGCGCGCGCCCAGGGTCAGCAGCGCCAGGCACTGCTCCCGCTCCAAGGGCTGCCGCGCCGCCTCCAGCACGCGCCGCACCAGTCCTTGCTTCACGCTCGTGGGGTAGGACGAAGTCACCACGGCCTCCAGGATCTTGTCCATGACGGTAACGCGCGGCTGGGGGCAGAGAGGGTGGCGCTCTGACACACACCCGGGTCCAGATCCCTGGGTGCTGACGCCAGGAGAAGGGCCACGGTTTTCTAGCACACACACACACGAATATCTTTAGCACCTGCCCAGCCCCTGGGAACAGCTCTGGCTGCTGGGCACCTTCTCCTCACCTCTCAGGTGACTACAGACACTCCTGAGAAACGCAGTAGTCTTGGGAAAGCCTCATGGGGCGGGGCGGGGCGGGGACTAGGCTCCGCCCAAGACCCTTTTCGCAGATCACCGAGAAGTTTGGAAACTTAAGTGCTGTACCACATCTCTAAGGCCCTACCACTATCAGACACCGGGCAAACTACTTTTCCTTTCCGCAAGAGCCACTCCCGGTCCTGCCAGACCACCCTCGCGGTGGATTACGTTATTATCAATTTGATAGGACCTAGAATCACCTGCAAGACCTGCTTCTGGACACACCAGAGAGGCATTTCTGCCTCTGGCCACCTGTGGGGTGTTATCTTGATTGATTTGAGATCAAAGACCCACCCACCATCCTCTGGGCTGGGAGGAGAAAGTGACCACAAGCCCTCATTGCCCTCCCCTTCCTGAGCGTGCAGCGACCAGCTGCTTCAAGTTCTGCCCCGTGACCGCCCCACCCTGACTGTTACACTGAGAAGGGAGCTGCAAGAAACCCTCGCTCCCGTGGGGTGTTTGTGTGCACCTGGAAAACTCTCCAGCTGCCACGGGTGAAGCCTATCATCCCAATGGCCTTCACTGACCCTCCCACCCAGCCTGGCTCCACAGCCCTTCACCCCAGGGCCCTACCTGCGTCTCCAGCCTCAGCCCCTGCCCTTTGCCCACCGTGTTCTGGTCACATGCATTCGCCCCCTCCTCTCCTTGCTTGATGGGGTGCTTTGAATGAGAACGGGCCCCCAACAGGCTTGCGGTGGGGTACCTGGTTCCCACAGAAAGGCCTATTTGAGAAGTGGGAGGTGTGGTCTTGGGGTGCCATAACACTGACTTTTAGGGTTCAGAAGTTAGCTTTCTCTGCCTCCTGCTTACCAAACAAGATGTGAGCTCTCAGCTGCTCCTGCTACCACGCCTTTGCTCACCCATCGTGAACTCGAACCCTCTGAAACCATCAAGTTCAAATTAAACACTTTCTTTTACAAGTTGCCTTGGTTGTGGCGTTTATCACAGCGATAGAAAAGTAACCAAGACACTTAGCGGGCGCTCCGAGCAGCCTCACCAGACCTCCCTCCTTGCTTCAGACCTCAGAACACCCTGCCCAGCTCCTCTACGGCCCCTGGCAGGTGTCCGCCTCCCCACCAGTGAAGTCAAGGTTTGTGTATCTGCCTCCCGGCACCTAGCAGGTGGCTTAGCACGTGGCAGGCTTGTGTTGAGTAAGTCAGGGCCTCACTGCCCTGCGGTATAAACGCCCTGCGCACTGAGCCGTCTGGCTCTCGAGTCTCAGGCTGATATTCACAGGTACCGCTGGCCCACCCTTATCTAGCTGGCACCTAAGAGAAGACAGGGCCCTTTCTCTGCATAATCCTATCCTAGGTAAAACCCAACACACAGTAGCTGCCTGATTTGCTGACTCCATGAAAACCATCGAAGCTTCCGACTGCAGCTGGGTGAAAACAGCCGGACATTTTCTGGACAAGGGGTCAGAACACTTGACTCAGAACCTGAGCTGTTCTGGAACCAGCTACACGCCAGGCTCTATGGAGACTCGCACTTCTGTGTCCTGCCTCTGAACTGAGCACTGCCATTGATTACTGCATGTCTCTCTCCAGGGGCCCCTTGGTTGAAGTCTGTCTCAGGGTGTAAGCTCCCTGGGACAGGGACCAAGCTTATGTCTCAGCGGCTGGCATCTGCCACACCAAGTTAGAATCTTTGGAGTTCCGTGGCTGTAGGGTACACTATAGCCAGATCAGTGGCCCCTAAATGCTAGCCTGGCTGCCTCAGAGTCAAAAGGCCGTTAGCCGGAGGGCTCTTAGCATCTCACTGTGGAATTCCATTCGTCTGATCGTGGGATTGAACCTAGGGCCTCACGCACCCTAGGCGAGCACTCCCACCTCCCAGTTGCTCAAATCGCAGGCATGAATTATCACACCTGCTTCTTGGGGTTTGCTTATCTGTTTTCATTTTGTTTGTATGTTTTGCTCCTAGATGGGGTTTTACTTTGCAGCTGAGGCGGACCTGAGTCTCGTGGTGTCCTCCCCCAGCCTCTTCAGGGCTGTGATGGATTACAGGTGTGAGCCACCAGTGCCGGCTCTCATTGCTCTCTTTAAATAATGATGTCACCTTGGAAAAAGCAGTCAAACGTCCAGGGCCTCCTCAGTTAGACAGAAGGAGGATGGTAGGAGAGACTCCGTGTTTACTCTGAGAGGCCTATCTGGCATGCATTCTGGTTACCAGAAAGATTACCCAGCCCCCTGAACCTCTCACTCTCTGGGCTATGAAAATGAACCAAGACGCCCTTAGCGTGGCGCTGGATGTGAGGAAATTCTCAAAAGACATCAATTCCCGCTGCCTCGGAAGCAAAGTCTGGGTCCTTAAGGAGGCGCAAGCCCAGCGGTGGAAGCAGATGCGGTTAGAGAGAGCAACAGGCAGTGCAAAGCGGGATCCGTAGACCTTCCAAGACCAGCCTGGAGGCTGGGAATGCCAGGGTTGGATCCCCAGCACCACAAGAAGAATTAACAGAAAGCAGGAGGGCACCCCCACCCCCACCATGTCACCCTGGGCCTAGAACAAGGCAGTTGCTGTCATCAACCCCCTAGGCCATGTAGACTAGTTGATAGGTCGTGCTTCTTAACCCTGGCTGCCAAGAAAGCTCAGCACGCACACTGCTGAGAAGGAACCTTAATCAATGAGACTCTGGTATCATGTATAGAGGGTGAGGGCAAAGGGCAGGCACAAATGGAATTCTGGAGCCAGGGAAGGTTCTAGAAAACGATTTTAAAAAAAATCAAAGTAGAAATGGAGACCTGCACTGTGTGACCTTGAGTAAGGAATATATATAT